CATGAAATTGGAAACTATCTGACAGAGGCAAATAAACTGACTGGCTGGGCTTAAGGAAAGTCAAAAATGGGCTATTCTTGGGCAAGGGTCTGTCTATAGTCGTACCATGTCACTTTAGAGTAAATGATCTGCCCCAAAAATCTTAAATCCAGACTTCTGCTACCTCAAGCCCATTTTATGTTCTTCTGCTATCCATGAACAACAGCTGACCTTCTAATTGTAGATTCCTGACTAGAGACCAAAAATAAATCTATTTTCTTTAGTGCATCTTCTGAATAGGACTCACTCACCTGCCTCCTGCTGAACAACTTGGGGTATTTCTTCCATTTCCAAACATTTCCTGAATCACAAAACATGAAAGTACCTTTCTCTGGTTTTCCTTACGAAAGCTAAAGAACGAGATCTTCCAGAAAACAAAATATATCAAAATAAAACAAAATACATAATGTTACGAAACCCACCTGACCCTCTGTGAAGATTTTGGGTGATAACTGTATGGTCATAGGAGCGGAAACTGCTGGTAACAATCAGAGATGTTTAAGGGACCCTCAGCTTGGTGTGTGTGTATTTGTGTGTGTGTGTGTGTGTGTGTGTGTTACTTTAGTGGTGCCGGGAGAGCACTATTTCCGTAGCATGCACGTCCCTCCTTCCTCTTTCCTCTTTTCTGATTCCCAGACTCTTGCTAGGTAGAAAATGGCCAACTCTGAAATGACTGACGAAGATCTTTGCAAAGTCTGAGTCTTAAATTGAGTTTCACATCAAAAAGCGAAGTGAGACATCTGAATGGAGGACAGAAGTTAATTATGTATTCATTCAACAGCTAGTAAGAGAGAAGCTAGTTCTACCAAGCTAAGCGGATAGAGTTGACTAGGGGTGCAGTTTTCAGACCAACCAATTTTTGTGAAGGCAATTTGAAGGACACACAGACTGGGCTGGTGGGAGAGGCAGTGAGTAGAATGTGGTTTGGGGCAGGTCCCAAGTAAGATCTCTGACGCTGTCTGTTTGCAGACAGCTTGTGTAGCACACTCTGGGGCCAATAAAAACGGATAAGGCCTTGGTTGCTGTAAACACTGTGGCCACAGGATGGCGCTCAAGTCCTGCACTTCATCCAGAAAAGCCTAAATTTGCTTCCAGTTGAGAAAATCTGGCCCTGCTACTTGAGCCCCTTACTAAGGCTGCACATTTAAGAACTAAAGTGCGTGCATTCCCCTGGATTTGGGAATCTTCTCCTTTGCTCCTAGTAACAGAGTATAGGTCACAGTACCTTGGATGCCACAGAAAAGTAGGCTGCGGAGTGTGCAATGGCAAAGAAAAACTTTGTGGCCTGGAAATCTCACAAGCTGAGCCAATCAAGCTTGGAGAAGAACACAAAGGCTGGCTGAGCTGGGGAAACCTGCTTCCTGTCACTGGCTAACTGGACTCCTAGTGTGAGGAGCGGCTTGTGGATGGCTCACAAATACGATTTTTAGAAAGGGAGTATCTGAAATTGAGGAAGAGAGATTATGTAGTTGGTACTAATATGGAATCCCCCACTTGGAAATGTAGAGGAGAAAGGCAACTGGGCACTATGCAAAGCTTAGCAGTCCTTTGGCTGGGGCTGTGCTTTGGAAAGATGACTCTAGGTTTGTGTTTTGTAGTAACATTTGTTTCTCAATTTTATTTAGTATACAAGGAGATTTTTCTGGAAATGCCTTTTGTGTAGTTTTGCTTCTATTTTTCATTTTTAAAAACAGCTTGCAGGAGAGACACACTAGCATGAGATCACCATGGTGGGGCCACAGAAGGAAGGTAGACAAGATAGCCTGTACAGAAAAAAGGTATTCAAGACAGCAGAAAAGATTGCAGCATTTTCAAGATGCAGTCGTTTCTCATCTAAAGATGGAGGTGTGCTCTGAGAGGTGTGCTGTGAGGTGATTTCATCATTGTGCATCATATAGTGCATTTACAACTAAGACAGCTAAGACATCACCAGGCAAAATGATATGTTGGGATGACTGTCACATACATGGCCCATCTTTGATGGAGAGGTCATGATATAGCCCATGAATGTGCTCAAAGAGTTGTTCATTTTTCTTCTACCAAGTTCAGTGTAGTCAATTGGCACCAAATTTTCACACTTTGCTTCTCTCTCTCCCAGATTGTTCTCAGCTGTTTATAAGCCTTCTTAGCTGCCCCTTACTCTGATTTCCCATTGTTCTGCTCTATCCATTGGCGTTTATGGTACTTAAGACAATAATAGGCCTGTTTTACTTGAAGATGGGACAGGTAGCTCTTTTTCCTGCAGCTTTATTTTTTCTTGCTTCTTCCCTATAGATGATTCCCTTTGCTCTAAAACAAATCTAGTCTTAGTCCATAGGAGAACAGGTCTTACAGTTTTGCTTTTTAGTTTTTTGACCATTCTTCACCATTCTGATTGAAGCTTAATAATCTAGCTTCTTAATTTTTTCTGTAGTCTAATTACAAGGGGCTTATAAACATCTACAGCACTTAAAGCCTGGAACATATTACCTATAATCTGTGGATTTATTTCTTACAATTTCCATAAAGTATTTTATGTGTGACAACTATTACCTTCAAGTGAAACCTCCAGGGGAAAAAATATTCTTTACATATTTTGTATATTCCTTACTTAGTAAAATGCTGGGTATATAGCATTGTCTCAATCAGGTTTAACAGTGGAATACACCTATTAATTTATTTAGTTGAAACTTTAATACATGTGATTTCTCAACCACTGAAGTCAGGTAAATTGGTTTACCCTTGTCTGGGCTCAATTTTTTTCTAATTGATCATATTTTAAATTTATGTTCATTTTTATTAAACTTATTGGTACAATTTAGATATGCATAAATGATCATATTCATCATAGGAAATTTGTACCTGTAAATTTGTTCCCCTAATCTCCTCCCCTTCTTTCAACCCCCTAGCAGTAAATGCCTGGTGTCAGGTGATTTGGTTAAGAAGCCATCAGATTCCTGGTCCCGGAGAAAAACCAAAAAAAAAAAAAAAAAAAAAAAAGAAGCCATCAGAATCTTTAGAAGGTAAATTACTGAACATTGTCTATGGACACTTGGGCTTTGAGCTCATGTGTGCTTTTAGACACCATTCTGGATTCTCTTGGGATTTATGACATAGTGTACACATCAATAAATAAAATGCCTTCTGATTGTATTAGTATGCAGACTCCATCCATCTCCAGAGCTAATCTCATCAGAATAAAAGGTAGAATAGCAAATGCTGTGGCTTTAGAACCTGATTCATGATTTAGAATTCTATGTTTGTCATAAATTTTCTATAGAAACTTAGGTACATCACTAAACAACTTCTTTGACCACACCTTAAAATAAAACAATATATTTCACACCTGTCTTTTCATTTCATTGACTACTAAGCTAGATAAAAGAAGTGAAAGTACTTTGAAAACACACTTATGCATTTGAAAGAAATGTATGGTGGCTGTTTACTTTTTGTTTTGGAAGGAAGCAGGATTGTGCCCATGAAAAGTAACTCCTAGATAATACAAAACACATCATACATCACTGTTACATCATATGTACATTGCCAGACATCCAAGGCAAACTATTCAAATGCTTGGTCTAGCAACACGCCACTCTGGAGGGTCTCAAAAGTAGTATTCAGTTCTTTATCTTACCAATGACTTACATTTTTCTGAGTAACTTTATGACCCCTGCTAAATTCAGTAGAAAGCATTTAAGTTAAACTTTTTTGTTTGTAAATATGTATATTTGATCACATCAGAGAAACTGTGGGTATTTGGGATTATGTGTTTGATTTACTTCACTTAAGTTCTGTTCTCAATCTGTACTCATGTACCTAGAAATGCTTGATTCTAATTTTTATGACATGGTTATACTCCATTTTATATAAATACATTTTTCTTATCCATCATTTCAAAAATATTTTCGTATATATGCTAATGTTTTTCACTTATGCTGATGGTTTATCTTAGTTCATTGAAAACAAAGTTTTATCTTAGTATCATTTTGTTTCTTTTTTTGTAAGACTCTTTGGTTTATGTCTTGTACTCTGAGTAACTACTCTGAGGATAATGATTGATACACAGTGTTTTAACTATTGTTATTCTCTTATTATTTTTATGAAATGTTGCCTTTGTTTTCATTTGTAAATGCTTTTATTTAAGAATCCCCACACTTGGGAGGCTGAGGTAGGAGGATTGCTGTGAGTTCAAGGCAAGCCTGGACTACACACTGTCTTCAAGGCTAGCCTGAAGAGCAAGACCTTGTCTCAAAACAAAAATGTCAATTTTTCACGGGCTTTAAAATTGCCCAAATCTGTAAGTCAGCTTTCTAGAAAAGCTATATTTTCATGTCAAATTACAGATCATGAATTGTTTCAAAGTTAAAATTTGTATAACAGGACAGTTTAATTAGGCAAGAACTTGAGAATGAGACTTTAAAATCACTCAGGAGTGAGTGTCACTTGCGATCCAATTCTTCATATCCCCTAGCTCTAAGGCTTGGATGCCAAGAGGAATTGCAAAGGGCTTTTCCTGCTCTGTCCCCTGTCCTACCTACCCACCCATACCTAATACTATGTCAAGTGTCTAATACTGATGCAGAATATTATTTAAGGTGGACGATAACCAGGACCTTGACCCTAAAAAGAATTTCAGAAATGTTTAATTTTGATAGCAACCACACAGCAAATTGAAAAGTTGTAGTTTTATTGATAGTATGGCTTATTAAATCAATAGAGGGACAAAGCCTCCTTGTCTGGCTCAATAAAAATGTAAGCAACTTTCCTTCTTTCTATCTGATAGTGAAAGATATGTGCAAAGGATCATATTTGATAAAATGAGAAATGTTTCTCATTTTATCATCTGATAGTGAATATACTTTCTATCTGATAGTGAAAGATATGTGCAAAGGATCATATTTGATAAAATGAGAAATGTTTCTCATTTTATCATCTGATAGTGAATATACTTTCTATCTGATAGTGAAAGATATGTGCAAAGGATCATATTTGATAAAATGAGAAATGTTTACATTTAATGGATCTTCATGTGCACTGGAAAAGCAGAACACTTACAAGGGCAAGGCATGGAGAACGTAAAGCTTCCCACATGAGGTTCTCCTAGGTTGTGCTAATAAAATGAATGTAGAGTTATGGTACAAGTCACTTGTAATTTATGATTTTGGATTAACTCTGAATACCTCAGCCATGCATTCTGGGGTACTTTAATCAAAGGCTAATTTTTTTTCAGTTCTCTAAAGGACAGAACCAAGCCAAAGTTTCATGCTCCTTAGAAACACATTGGTGATTAGCTCTAACTACATAGGCAACTTCTCAAAGTACATCTGCTTAACAGTTGGCTGGTACAAATATTAGAGAGGAAAAAGACAAGTGAAAAACATCTATTGCTATCTACAGGGTTTCTTTCCTGCACCCCCATAGATGCCAAAATCCTTCGATGCTTCGGTCCCTTATATAAAATGGTACAATATTGGCATATAACCTACACACATTCTCCTCTACACTCTAAATTATTTCTAGGTTACTTCTAATTTCTAATACAAAAAAGATGCTGTGAAAAGTAGCTGTAGTGCTGATTTTTAAAGAAAATAATGACAAGACAAAAGTCCCTGTGTTTAGTACAGAGGTGATTCTTTTGAATCAGTGGTTGATTGAATGCATGGATACAGAAACCAAGATATGGAGAAATTCCTGGGTCTGGCGTGGTTAGAGCTCTTGAGTCTTGCAAAGTGGCTTCTCAGTGAAGTAGACTGTGATTCATTTTCTGATTAAGAGAAAAATATTAAAAACCATAATTATTATAGATTACAAAATAGTCTGTAATAAAATGGCAGTTTATAGAATTTAAATAGTACTAACAACCCTACTGAGAAACAACATAATCACTTCATTTTATGGGTGAGGAAACAAATGAAGTAACAGCTCAAGTCCCCACCATTAGTTTTTGGTAGAATTAAGGCAAGAACTCAGAGCTCTGAGTCCAAGTTCACTTTTATCTCCTTTACACTAAGTGGCCCATAGTACACAGGAAGTGCCACGCCACGGTTCAACCAAGCCCTGGAGAGTTTAAAAGGATTTCTTTTTTCCTTTTTCTTCTTTTCTTTTCTCTTATTTTTCTTCTTTTTATCTTAATATGCTATGCAGGGTGAAATTTCTAAACTCCTTGAGAATTAACACACACGGTGGTTCACACAGGTGGTATTAAATGATAGCTGATAAATGGATGAGGGATGGTCCTTATCTTTCAATTCTTCCTGAGGAATTGACAGTCAGTGGTGTTTTGAGTCAACTATGATCTTTATGGTTTCATTTCCAGAGAAGATTTAGAAAAAGAGTAAAGAACAATCTTTCCACATGTTTAATGAATCTTTTCCATACATAAGAAGAATTTTATTACTTTGCTGACACTTTTATAGAGAGACTATTTTCCACTAGCCAACTAACAAACTCTGAGCCCTTCAGTTCTCAAGCCCAAATGACAGAAATGTGTAAGACATAAAAAGAATACTTGGATTATAACTCATTGAGACACTTTTTTAAAAAATTGAATGACTGTCTTTTTTATTTTAAAGAGAAAAACTAACAAAACAATAATGAAGACAAAAACAAAACAACACAAAATCTTAAAACATGTTCTTCAATGCTATTAATTTTCTGTCTTGCAAATGAGAACTCAACTTTTAATCAGGAATAAAATGTTCTGATTGATCAAGCTTATTTTTTACAAAAAAAAAAATTACCCTTTTCTTCTTTTCATCTTAGCTAGTATTAAACTCATCATCCAACAGGAAACTATATTATTTCTGTGCAGATCCCAGCAGTCATAATCTCACAAACGTCAAAGAAACCCCTCTTCTCTTCGTGTTGTAGACACACAACCTGACTGATCTATGTCTATACTTAGTTTTTCTTCTCAAAATTGAATCAGTTTCAAAAACAAAATGAACTGCTTCTCCAGGTATTATAGACCTCCGTGGGGCATCTTTCTCAAATCTGAAATAACACTGGGAAAATATTCAGGAACACAGAGAAGAAAGGTCTCACGTGGTGCGGCTGGCAGTGCCTTCTCGGCAGCCTGGTCCACTTCTAAATTTGCAGGTAACGGCGACACAGCAAGGATCAGCGCATTTCTTCAAAGTACACACACAACAGGGAGAATAAGTTCAACAGTTTATTCCTATTGGCCAGGCTCATAGGATTTAGGTATAAGATGGCAGGGGAGTTTCACTGTTTAAACTAAATTACTCTTACACCAATCCCAGTGGAAATGACTAAGAAAAGTTGCTAATAAGGATAAAAAGTCATAAACAACACAAACTACCTCTTCAAAACTCATAGAATTATCTAAGAAAGTCCCCAAATAAATTTGGTCTGGGAGTGTATATAAATTACTGAAAAGCTTCAAGGAACTATGCTTCCATAGCATTCAACCACTCTAAAAACAGTGACAAAAGGGCTGGGGATTTAGCTCAGCGACAAAAGCGCCTGCCTGGCAAGTGCAAGGTCGTGAGTTTGGTTCCCGGTACTGGAGAAAAACCAAAAAATAAAAAAATTTTTAAAAATTAAAAAAAAATAAATAAAAACAGTGACAAAATTTAACCCCCACAGTATTTTACCAAATATACATAAATTGGTAGTGAGCTAAACAATCTCACACACACACACACACACAAGTTCTCAGATGAATATAAATGCAAAAATTTGAATACAATGTTAGCAAAACACTGGCTTATTAAAATAATAACTTTTCTAAATCTGTGTGCATTTTGTTCATAAAAAGTGCAAGAGCAATGCAACGCTAATGAACAAAGTTATACCAGCCACTGTGGTAAGAGACAGAGAGGAGAAAATAACTAGTATTATTGTGATAAAGATTAACAGTTGATAATTTAAGCAGACATTGTTAAATTATTTAAGCATTATTTGTAATTTATGTAAAAGGTGAGATCTATTCATAGTCCATATTGTTTGGGGAATTTAACAAATACTATGAGATATAAAAAAAAGTATGAAAACATAATGAAAAAATATAAATCATGTTTTCACTATTTGTGTTGTATACAAACCTTTATTTGGAAAATAAGAGGATCAACTCTTAAAATATATTTTGTGTGTCATCAAGGTAAGTATTTAAGATAATAATAATAATAAAAATTAATCATAATAATAAATACAGAGCATCAACATTAGTAAGCAAGTAGTCTATCATTAAACTGTACCCCAGCCCCAACTACTTTTTGGATAAGGAAACAGTTACTTTAAAATATAGATGTCCATAAGCCTGAACTTACTAATTTTCATCAATTATGTAAAACGAAAACTAGATATTGAAATAATATGAGTTGATTGATATATTTCAAGGAAACAAGATACTGTGTATTATATAGACAGTAGCTCCTCTTCTTGTTGGTCTCCTCGCCTGCATCTCCTGTCTGCACACTGAAAATGTGCTATTCATCTACGAAGCTAAAAACACTTGTGATTTATGAACTTCAGTTTGCTTCTACTTAAGAAAACATGGAAATGGGGATTAGTCAGAATGAGATCAATATAACTCTAATTTAATTTAAAAGGCCAAATTATTTGTAAAATTCCATACTTTATTACAATTAGCAGGATGTTTGTAATATCCCTCAACAAATGTTTAAGTCATATCCAACTCTATTCTAATGCAATGTAACAGTTAAAAATTTTGAAATAAATAAACTGAAATGTAGGGGGATTATCTGTCTTCCACACAGTAATAAAGGCATTTGAAGTACTGGATAAATCTCGGGTTTCATTTTGCTACAAATTACTAGCTTTCATCCTTGGAGTCAGTTACTTGGTTACCAGTTACTTTTCTGAGCTCTACATCTCTAAATTAGGAAGACAGTAATATTTACTGGGTAGATTTGTTTTAACAAAGGATATAGGATCTAGAGCATTAAAAATACTTTGAAGATTGTCTAACACGTATAGTCTCTTCAAATGACATTTTTTGTCTTTAAAACGAAGATTGCTAAGAAAGTAGAATGCTTAGAAAATTAATATGAGATTGCTGGTGAATATTCTATCAGAGACATTCATTAGATTATATGGGTGCCCTGATATTTTATAAATGTTAACAGAATTATAGTAGTTATTTTAAATGTTGTACATTAATAATTCATTTTCTAAAAGTTTATGTGTTTTCTCTTTTGGTTTTACATCCTTTGATTAATTTACTTCTGAGTTTGATGAGAAAAGGAAAATTCTCTCTGCAGTGAGATCTATAATCGCTACTGCTTAATAAATGACTGAGTGACATTACAGAATTAAGCAATTTCTAACTAACATGCTGTGGTTAATGAGTTACTTCTTTACATTCAACTTCGTACAATCATATCATAATCATATCCTGGCTTTTGAAAGATGACTAAAATCACTAGCAAAACACAAATACCAATCTACTTTTCAACTTTTGTTCAAGTTTATCTTTGAAAGAATTTCCAGAAAAAACGTTTAAAAGGAAGAGAAAAAATAAAGAAAATTAGAACTGCATATTTTGCTGCCCCTGTAACTGTCCAATAAAAGTGTAAACCACATCCGTCCTCATACCTTAGGAGAGCCACAGTCACAGTCTTCTCCTGTTTCCAGAAGGTGGTTCCCACACATGGGTTTTGTTATTACATTTTTAGGACTAGGTGGTTGTAGCAGGCACTTCGGTTTTTTAGATAGAAGATATTTTTGAAAATGTGAGCGGCAGGTGGTACTAAAATCCTTTGGGAATTTTGAACTACAACCAGAAAAACAATTAGAAATAATATGGTATGCAATAAAGTAGTTTCTGCATGAGAACTGAACAGGAGAATTGAACTTATCTCATTGCATTACCCAATTCAGCGGAGATTCCAAATTCAGTAAATGTTTATGCCCATGCTATGTTACACATAGTGGGTGGTAGCTCACGCACACTATTCTAACGGAAATCTTTTTCCTACACACACAAAAGCAAAGCTGGGAGCTCTTAAATCCCCATGTGGTATGATCACTGACATACAGTATAATAATAATCAGTGTAATAATAATCTACTTCTTATCATCCACTCATCTGGAACTGAAGAATAAGTAGTGAAGAGACACAACAATGACCCAGTGGAATGGAATGATGGTGAACTTCTAGGGTACACAGAAATATTTTTCATCTTATTTGTGAGCACCTAAAGAACAAATATGGGTAGTTATGAAGCATGGTTTTCTTAAATATTTTAATGGTTTTAGCAACCATGATTTCACTTTAAGTTCAAATAATTTTAAGTTAAAATAATATGGTGGTTGCCATGGTTATAAACTTTACCCTGGAATGTTTGGGCACCTCAGAGAAGGAGCCCTGATATGTGGTACAAATCTATATAAAGGGAGACCGGAAGCTGAACTAGTGGGCTATGTACTATTGGGGGGAAATACCCATCACACATAGACACAGTGCATCTAGATTCTTTTAGATTTGGGAAGTATCTTCTAAAATTTAGGGTGACAGGATTTTACCTCAGATATTGACTCATCACACAGCTGCCAGAGGGACACTGGGTGGTGTATGGAATGTCAAGCATACCGAGGACATGGCCCAACTCGTGGGACATCAGTGCTACAAGAGCCACGCTATCTTTATGTTTACCCTAGAAAATAGAAAGACAGGTTACATCTTATTTATGAAACGAAACATGTTTTGTTCTGTGTTGTAAATGTACGATATTTAAACAGAATAGCTTGAGCAATGCAAATGCGTCATAAAGTTTCTTTCCTTGAAATTGCTTTCTGGTTAGTGTTGAATGAACACTTGGGATGGTTAGGTCCCATGAATGCAGTCGTCAAATCTGTGCTCAGTAATCGTTGAGTTCATAGACACTAACTACTCAGTAAACAATGGCTAAATTAACTTCATTCCTCTTGGAAAGTAATAATAGTTTAATATGGACTGGGAGGTCTATAAACACCATTATGATGCCTCTGATATTAGCAGGGCGTGGCTATGTGACACCTACCTGTACTTGTCTTTCTTATTTGAGTTCTTCAATCACAGATAACTAATTTATCTATGCCAGGGAGGACACCTAGATCTCCCCTGTTTCAATATTCCTGCTGTTATCCCTTTACACCAAGTAAAGCTTGAAGTCTTTAGACAGGGCTGATGTTTCAAAATTCAGGGAATTCTCAGTGCAATAACCTACTAGTACTTTCATTTCTGCTTTTACTTATTCACTCAGAAAATGCTCATTATGTTTACTCTCTGCAAAGCACAGATTCATTTTACTTACATATTCATATTCCTCTCTGCACAAAGCGCACATTCATCCTCCTACAGATATAGAGTCAGAGTGAGCCTTAGAATAAGTTTACAGACCTCAACGACAGAAACCGAAGCTGGGGAGCACAAGGAATTCGGGGCTGCCATTCCTGCACGCCGATTGTTGAAGCTGATTCCACTGTGTGAAAGGTATAGAGACCGTCCCAGTCAGAGCCTTTGGAACCATTACCTTTCCCAGTGATGTAATAGATTTCCTCTGTTACCCTGGCATTTTCATGTCCTGTGGTCCCCCAAATGGTTCTTACTGTCTCATTCCATTATAATGACCACAGATGGTTTTCTCACACCCAAGAGCCCATGCCATTTATCTCACAGGGACCTCTAAATTTCCCACAAGGGAGCCACTTGTAGTAGAATATCAAGCACTTTAACAACTGATTGTGGTGATATGAATGAGCAGACATCCCTGCCAAAGAACGTTGTGGTAACTCTCAGCTCTACCGATGCATATCTGACATGTCCAGCACAGGCTCACCTGAGAAGCTGAGCATGATCATGGATCTTCTTTTTCCCCCAGGTAGAACTGTGCCACTTCAGGAAATTCTCATATGTGTTGAATATGTTGGGTTCCACCTTGATCTTATCACCGTCAGACCAGACTTCCATACCTACCAAGGCCACTTGAATATCTATAGTGTTATACATCTGTGGAAAGAGCATTTTTCTTCATGAAAAAGTGCAGGATTCCTTAGTGTTTGGAGCTTTTGTTGATCACATATGATGGATAAAGGGATAGACCGTGAGTGATGAATAATTTTTATTCTGGAAATAGAAATCCTAGATGTCTGTTATGGTTGATATATTGTGTCAATTTGAATGTAGAAGCTTAACTAAGCAACTCAGCAGTTCTACATCCTGGGATGAAAAAGACATGCTGTTTCCCTTCTAGGATGTTGCTCATTGTGTCAACTTGAGAAGTTTAGAAGGTTAACTATGTGACTCAGCAGGGAGCCAGGGTGCTTACTTTGTATCCATCCTGAGCCTGTGCAAGAGCAGGGCATGGAGATTATATGAGTGCTGCATGCCCCCTCGGGGGTATCCTGCTTAAAATATAAGGGAGGAGAAGAGGGTTTTTCTCCCCCTTGTGCTTCTGCTGCTTTTGCAGTTTTCTGCAGCCATGAACTGTTGCCCTCTGCCTGGGAGCCAGCCTAGTATGGATTAAAACCTCCACAAACTGTGAGCTAAATAAACCTTTCCTTCCTTCATTTTGGGCACTGAGTATTTTGTCTCAACAAGAGAAAATTAATCAAGACATTGTATTTGTTACAGTGTGTGTAATTTTTACCTTGATGTTGATCTTTTTTTTTTTTTGGTATAAATTTCCCAAAACTACTGTCCTTAAGGCATTGTGACACTCTTAGCCCCTTGTTGTGAGGTCACAAGGAAGCCCCAAGCTCCTATGTGGAAACTCATGCTTCCATGACAAATATCTTACCACATTGAGTAGGTTCATCACATTAAACAGAAGGTTTCTCATCACAGTGAGATTCCCATTATACATCTTGTACTGTGAAATGCAAAACACAGAGCAAAATTAAAATAGCAGGTTAAAGTGAAAAAACTTTAATAGGGTGCAGGACTTCACATTTACAGAAAAGTTGCTCATTTTAATATAATTAACATCCCTTCATTCCATGACTATCCTATTGAAGACTTTGCTTCAACAAATTTTAACTCAAGTTTTTTGCTAAGAGAAAAATTGGCACTCATGAACTTTCAATGTTATTCATCTTTAAATTCAGTTAATTTAATTAATAATTTAAGTCATTTAAAAATAATTCAATATTAAAATTTAATTATGAAGCAGAATGTACTTCATAAAGTAAAAAAGTACTAAGAAAACAAATGTAGTATTTTTTCTCTGTACATCCAAATATAACTTGTAACTTATACATAGTTTTGTGCCTAGTTTATGTGTTAATGATATTTATATTAAAGATATATTTATATATTATCACAAAATATGAAAGAATTAATATTTTCACAATTTATTCTTTTTACTTTTGTGGTTATTGCCTAAGGCTCTGTAACATTATGGATATCACCAATATCTAAATACTTGGTGGCAGAGAGATATTAAAGTTCTCTGGAGTGAAGACTGATGTCAACAAGGCAGGTAACACCACCAAGAAAAACAGGTGGACCCAATACCTCTACACTATACAAGCTAATTGCTTGCTTTTGATTGAGAAATAAGCTTAAAAATTGAATAAACTCTCTAAGAAGCACACAAATTTCATACTCACAAAGGCATTATCCAGCACCAAAAAGAGATCAATATACTTCTGTCCCTGAAAAACGTCTCCTGGCTTTAACAGCAAAAAAGAATAGTGTTAACTTATGTCTTTACTGTGAAAGATTCAAAATCTTACAACAGATTTTTTTTCCCAGAAAGAGGTTAAATTGAAGAATAAGGAAAGAGCAAACTTTGCAGATACCAAGCATTGCTGAGCACTCCAATGTATCATGTGTCACTGCTGAGACAGCTGAAAACCTAGCTGTTGTAAAGATAGCCTCACCTTTACACTTTTGAGCGACCTGGACATTCTACGACGGCCTTGTTTCCTGCCAGATCTTCTCACACTGCACGTGAGATTTGCCCTGTCTGGTTCCTCCTGATTGTAGGTAAGGACAACATGTTCGCTCTTGTCAGCTCTTTGCAGAGGCCTGATCAGGTATCTTTGGCCATGATGTGTGAAGTAACCTCTGTGAGACAGAGAGACTTGTGCTTCAGGATTACTGTAATGCTCAGATTCTTAAGCACCTGCTCAGAATGGCTCGATACCTCTTCCCCCACCCAAATTGATACACACAGTTAACCCCTAACCCATCATGTAATTTAAGTTATAATCAGTATTTGTCAATATTGAAATGATGCCTATCTTATTTACCTAAAGAATGTGAAGAATTGCTGAAATGAAGCACTCCTACAGAATTTGGCATTTACACCATTAACTTGGTAGGTATTTCTTCAGCTTATGTATTCACTGAGCAAATTTTTCTCGGCAGATCCCAGGAATATAACGGGGAGTGGAGTAAAGGGATGCACAGGTGCCAAGAACTACAGAGAGGAGATCAAGGGACTAGTGGGTCACCCAGAGTAGCCAACTGGGACTAGCAGTGGCTTAAGGAATCTCCTTTTATACTAAAATAAGTCATTTAGAGAGACAACATGAATCCATAGGATGTAATATTACAAATTCAACAAAAAGCCATTGAAAATTATTTCCATAAGGTATTTTATGATATCGAAAAAACTTACAATGTCATACTCTGTATCAACAATATCGAAAAAATAATTAGATTTTTTTTCAGCTTTTATTTATGGGAAAGATATACTTGTCTATACATATAAAAGGCTGAAACACAATAAAGCATTAATAATATTAATTATTCAGAGGTAAAATTTTAGGGTAGCTGTTATTTTCTCATTTGCGCTTCCTCTTATTCCCTAGATTTTCTCTAATTGCCAAGAGTTACTTATTTAAACAGGAATATACACACATACCCTTAAAAAATTAAGTTTACCTGAGACAACTATCAAGTAGAATCTTTATTAAAATAAAACATGATTTCTTCAAAGAGAGTAGATGAACTCTGAAATGGATCCAGGCATTCTTACTTACATGTGTGGCTCTATACTTTGACAGCAACAGATTATGAAATGATTGTAATGGTGCTACTTTATTTCTCATCTTAACCTCATAACAAAATAATGTTTGACATTTAATAATTCTGATAGTGTCTCTCACCTCAACCCATCACAGGTGCTAATGCTGGCAATAGAATCCTTCTCATTCAGGATGTGACCTTCATAGTAACAGTGTTTCTGTAATTAAAAATATACATATACTTTAGAAATACATATTCACACATATGTAAGTATAGTTTACACACACACATGCATATACAAACTACAAGGGTGTGTGAATCACAGTAATGTGGAAAGCTGCCATCTTGAATGTGTACAAAAGTTTATGTCATGTCTTTGTCCTTACCACTTTCCAGAAACAAAAACAGGGAGAGCCTTGGAGATTTTCAGAATTGGTATCTGGGTTGTTTTTCACACACTAATTGCACTGAGATAAAGTCTAGGACTTAGCACATAAGTGGGCTTATGAGGTAGGTGTGTGTTGGAGCTGAGAAATAGCCAATCCCTTTGGGACTTACTATATTCTTGCAAAGTTTCAGGTTGTGGGGCCAACTTTCAAGAAGTTAGCTCCCCGTGTGAGTCTCAAAGGTCCACGTTAGTAAAATCAGGCTTCTATTTTTCAGACTAACTGATTCAATTCACCATTGTCATTGGACAGTTAGTGAAATCCCTCTACCAGATATAAGACCCTAGAATGTTTATCTACAACCAAAGATTTATACTTGCTTAGTGGCGCATAACATATTGGGGCCACATATGTGACATCATCTACAGAAGGTAATGAACAAACTCTGATTCAAAGTAAACAGACTTGCTGCAGACTTGGAAATCCATCATGTGTGCATGAGTGTGTCTTCTCTGGAAATCTCCTATCAGAAACATTTTCTCATGGAAGATTTGGGAAAGTACCATATTGAGACATATGAGTCATTAATATTTGAGCATGAATTAATTTACCAGATACTTTCCACTGAGGACAAATGTTAACAAAAATCCACATATCTAGAAATTGAGTGTTTTGATAAGAGGGGGGAATGAAGTGCTATTTTATAACAAAAGTATTGTGGGGTTTTTGTTTGTTTATAGTGTTGTGCATGTTTAGGGTACCGCTCAGGATACTTGTGCACGAGTATCTTAGTTTGGTAATATCTCCTGAATGAGCTTTTCTGTATTATTTCCTACTCTTTTCTAGTTCTCTGTGATTATTCCTCCACCTGGCTTTGGTGTATAAGATGGTGTCTTGACCAGATATAAACATATTCATTCAATAACTGACATTTCATTGCTGACCCTAAAAAAGCCTGAACATATCTTAAAGAAACAGTAAATAGTGTGACATGACCTTTCAATTACCTATAGCGGAAAATATTTCTAACCCCTGCATAAACCGATCTAAGGACAAGTGGACTTTGGGTTGTTTGTTACTCCTACCTGTTAAAAGCTGTAATTTCACACCTGTTGCCTCACAGGTAGTATGTGAGCACTTTGATTTCAAATAATATTTTTACACCATCCTTGGATCTATGCACTTTCTAAAGTCAATGATCGATCCTGGAAGAGTCACAGGGAATATTTAGATCCTACCGTGTTCTGAGAGCTCCTGGTTATTTCCTCTCCTCCAGGTGAATAATGTGTTTCAGTGTATTCTGGCCCCAGGACATGCCTGTAGAGAGCAGAAAGCGGCATTGTACACTCAAGATGCTGGCAAAGGCTCATTTACCTGAGGCATTCTGCACCCAAGGGAGTGTAATGCCTACAGTGAGAAAGAAGTTACATTTGGCCCTTGATTTCTTTCCAACACTGAAACTCATACCAAAGAATTAGTAATAATTAAATTGGGGAGGACAGAAATGCTCTCAAGTACTTTTCAGCTGCAGATTTTCTTTTTTTACTGACAAATGGGTCACTTTGGGATTCTTCTTTTTATTTTAAAGAGAAAAAAACAAACAAATACAGAATTTCAAAACAAGGTGATAGAAAACTAACAATGGTTATTATATTGTATATATCTTCAAAGTAATTGCTCAGATTACCAGATATAGGTATGCAGAATTGATCAAAAAATATAAGCATTAACTATTCCTTTCAAAGAACTAATACAAATTAGCAGTACAATTATCTTAGCTATTTTATGTATGTATATATATATATTTTTCACCTTTCTTCTTTTCTCTTTTACCACCCCAGTTTTCTTTCCTTTTGAGCAGTTTCTTTCCCTTTTACAATATCTATTGTACCTTTTGGATCTTATTTACTCTTTCAGTTTCTTACACTAGGGAGAAAATACAATGTTTACACATGTGGGTCTGATTTATTTCACTTATAAGTGTGGTCTCTAGTTGCATCCATTTACCTATAAAAGCCTCAAGTTTGTCTTTATTTATGGCTGAGTAATAGTCCATTGTATAAAAATACCACATCTTTTTTATTCATTCCTCAGTTTTTGTGCATTTGGATTGTTTCCAAGATTTAGCTACTACAAATTGTGCTACTATAAACATGGGTGCACATATATCACTGTAGTATGATGGTTTCAATTTTTCTGGAAAAATACCCAGGAGGGGAACAGCTGGGTTGAACGGAACCTCTAATCTTAGTGTTTTGAGAAATCTCCACACTGATTTCTACGGTGGTTGTAACAATCTACACTCCTACCCCTTTGGGATTCTTCACACCAACTACACAACCTTCAGAAAATCTCTGGAGGATGCTAGGTCACAAGTTTATATCAAGAACCACTGTCTCCCAAAAGTAGTTTATTGAGTGTTATAGAAGTTAGTGGAGACGCATTCCCTGGAATGTATCTCAATTCTGCACACTCTAAATCTGCATTAGACATATGATCGTATAAAACAAATGGAAAACCGCATCAAAGGCTGGAGTTTATCAAGGTAAAAGTGATTTCAATAAACTGCAAAACATTCAAGGAAAAAAGTTATATATTCATGTAGCTTGCATGGTTTTACTCTTTGTAAATGATTCCCAAGGAAAGCATCAACATTCTTAGATAACGTCATCACAAATTAATATCATCTAAGGCTCGGTATGCCTCCAAGCATACTGACCAGAGTCTCCCAATTCTTTCTCCAATATCTGCTTAATATAATTCAATGCTTAGATCTGAGGAAGTACAACTTACTTGGCTTTGTGCAGGTGAAGAATGATTTCTTCTCCATTTAGTCTAATCAGATACTGAACTTCAGTATAAGTTCCCTGAAAAATTTGAATAGTATAATTATACCATATGACTTATATTTCTGAATATAATGTCCTACGTAGTACAAATTGGAACAATTATAAACATATAAGCTAATAACAGTTCTTTTATGTCTTTCAAATATCTAAAATAAAACACAACTTTCAGATTAAGAATTCCTTCCTAAAAGTACAGTTACATACTGATCATGCAGATTAAGCTAGCTCTAATATATAAGATGGGGAGTTACCATTTGTTCCAGCATGCAATACGCCACCATCCTGTGTACATAACTGATCACCAGCGGGAGAATTATAGGACACATGTTTTTCCTTTAAATGTAATTTTAAACTCTACTAAGAACTAAATAAGATGGAAGTTATAAAACGAGGGAAATGTTTGCAGCCACAGGACAGTAAAAAAGTCAATAATATTAACATATGAAAAATAATAATGTTGTTAACTACTGAGATAAAGTTGAATTCACCATTAAAGACAAATGACCTAGAAAGACAGAAAGCAATGAACCGGGAAAAGGGCTAAGGGTGAGGCAGAGAAGGGAGTTTGGAGAGTCCAAGACATAGCCCCATCCCCTACACATATTTGCCCTTCCGGGGATCCTTGTATCCCCCACAGATTCAATGAAATGTCCAAGTACCGCTTAACTGCAAACCCATTTTGAGGGATCACGTGATCTGTCCTGGAAAAAAAGGAGAAGTGCACATACGGGTATCAAAGCAACTATCCCGCGGGAACTGTGACATCACTTTAATTAGTAAAAAACACTCTGTTCTGTCCCCAGTTGACTGTAAAATCTACCGTGGTCCTTCACATTGCTTACCTCTTTAGCATGTTTCTCTGTCTGGTTGTTCTCAATCCCTCTTTTGTGTAAATTGTGTAGTATTTCAGGATAAACTCTTTCATGGCGGTTCAATTCAGGAGTTTGCTTTATGGCTATTGCTAGAGAAAGAAAGATAATATTGATAAAAAAATTCAAAAGTTTTTGTTTTGGTTTGGTTTGATTGTGTGTTTTGTTGAGAGAACATGAAAGACTAGTAAATTCCTGTCTGGAGAGCAAACATTAAGAACAGATTGATTTTCCTAACTCAATCTGCTCTCCTCTCTCTTCTTTTCTATCTCTCTCTCCTCCTCTCTCCGTATCTCTCTTTGTCTCTGTCTGTTTGTCTGTCTTTCTCACTCTGTCTCTCTCTGTCTGTCTATGTCTCTGTCTGTCTCTCTCCCTGTCTCTCTGTCTCTGTCTCCCTCTCTGTCTGTCTCTGTCTCTATCTCTGTCTGTCTGTCTCTCTGTGTCTGTCTGTCTCTGTCTCTCTTTCTCCATCTCTCCCTGTCTCTCTGTCTCTCTGTCTCTCTCTGTCTCTCACTCCCCTATACTACAGAGACATCCTAATGATGAAACAGTTCTTTGGATTATTTCTTGGTATGCAAGTTCTGGACCACCATGACCAGAAACAGAGGTTAAAAAGAGTGAGCCGGGAATTGTGGCAAGAGTAATCTAGTTTCTTCTTCCTCTACCATCCTCTTCAAAAAATATTGCTAAATCCTCTCGGGGCATCTGCTTTCCCTTCTTTATGTCTTGTTCTTGCTGTGGTACAAACCCTGACTAAGTACTCCAGATACCAAATCTTTTCCTAAGCAGGTAATATTCAGTGAGGCTAAAATGACTCAGTGATTTTCACCATTTGCCTGACAGTAAGCCATAGCCTTCTTTCTTTCGTTAGCCCTGTCCTTCAAGACTGGAGATCTCATAGGAAATGTTTTTATTGATCTCTCTTAGAGGAATTTTAAAGCAACAGAAAGCAAGTAGGAAAATTGTTTAAAGACAATCATTCTTAATGTGTTTGAAATTACATCACGTAGACAAGTGTCCTTTGCTTACAAATACTGGGAAAATAACCTATCTTGGAGTCAAAAGAGTGGTCTTGTATCCCAGGTAAACAGGCTGAGCAAAGTCACTTTTCCTTTATCTCTTTTATCATTGAAGAAAGAGATTGGTTTACAGCTTTAGTAAAACATAAAATTATTTAGCATCATTTTAGGAAAGTGGCAGCACACCTTTTCTTTTCTTTGTAATCATTCAATCATTTATATAAGATCACTCAGTATAAGGTCATGCATATGTTTCCCACTAAAGTGTCCGGGTTGGAGACATTTTCCTGCTCTCTGTGACATTCCAAGGCCTTGTTAGGACACCAAGCAGTTCTACCTCTGACACATAGGGAGAATCTGAAGGGAGACAGTAAAAGCTGCCAGAGTTCTGCTGCAGTGCTATCCCAAGAAGAATATTTCATGCAGAAAATTTAGAACTACATTTGTAAGTTTCCATTTTTCAAACGATAATATGAACCCATTACTTGGAACAGTCATAGACCTGAACTTAGAGTGAATTTTAGTAATATCTGGTCTCAATTTTAATGCTAGCTGTGCAATGCTGGGAAAGCCTTCAAAGCATTTGTTTACATCATTACTTGCTTTATTTGGATTCGAGGACATTTTCTAAGCATAGCTTACAATGTGATTCAGCCAAAGACCTTTGCAAGGTTTCTAAAGTAAAAATCATATTCAGTAGTGTCTCTTTAAGGAAAATAAATATCAAAGTTAAGAAAGCTCTAATGAAATTACAAGTCCTTACTTCTCAAAAATATTTCATTTCAGCAAAGGAGACCTTGAGTCAGTAGTATACGCTTACTTTAATTATAATGTCTTAAATCACTATGTCTGATTTTTAACATAATCAAAGCAAAATATGATGTAAAAGTGTTACATTCTTCTTGAGACAGTGAGAAACTGTCTCTGATGCTACTTTCAATATGAAAACTCAGATATTCATTCAACAAATATTTATTGAATGCTAACTTTTAGCTAGTCATGATTTGAGGTTGTTGAGTTAAATCAGTCAGTAAAATAGACTGTGATCCCTGTGTTTATAAAATTCACATTCTCTTTGTCTATCGGTTGATCTACCTTTCTTCCAGATAGATTGACGTATACATTCTATGTATTATAAAGCAAACTAACTACACATCGGATGGTAAGTACTATGGTGGTGAAATACCAGAACAAAGCGGAATGTGAATGCTGGGATGGAGGTGAATGGTGAGATTTTAAGTAGGATAGTGTAGTGTCATTTAGGACTATGTGTTTTAGAAAATAAAAAGAACTGGAATAGCTCAGTTCATGCTTTTGTGAGGCTCTGGATCCAATCTCCAGCAAAAAGAGCAACAAACAAATAAAACTTAAAAGAATAATAACAGAACTGGTAAGATTATTTTATGAGATACACACTTTAGAGACAGTCTTACTAAACTATTATTTAAATCACAGCCTTGAATATGGGTGCTTCTAAAGCACTCATTTTGAATAAAAGGCTCTGAAAAGCCTTTACTGAGCTGTATGTGTACATAGCATAATTACTTAAAATCATTCTAGTTTATCCCTTCTTTAGGTACAGTATTAGTGCTGAACAGTATAATAAACACATGAGAAATACAAAATCTAGAGCTAGTCTTATATACAACTTGTACACAGCATTATTAAGCAAATGATAACTTTGTAGTGAACTTTACATAAACCTTTAGGTACATACTTTACTTCTTCCGGCACAGGATTTACTACAAATTTGTCCACATTAGGAAACGTCAGATTCACATTACTTTTTACATGATTATCAGCATTGATCTTTGACTCTTAGGGACATATGCCATTTTCTCAAGGGTAATTCCTGCATTTATTAAATAATGTGAGCTTGTGCAGGCTGTGACTGAATTGTGCTTACCTTGAGTTTGAATGATGAAGCAGAGCACAGAAAGCAAGACCCAAGACATGTTGGTGACTGCAGACAGCTCAGAAGACTCGGGCAGCGTGAAGGCGTGGTCTCCCTGTCTGTTGGTTTTATCTTTTCCTACTTCTCTTTAGAAATTAAAAGAAAATAATAAGACCTCAAATTTTTTCTGTGAGATTGAAGATGTTTCTTAATGGTATTGGGAAATCACCAAGAAATAGCAGGGTTGACACCATGGCAACGTTCCTCATTTCTGAGAGGTATTTATGTCTGAGAACACTCCTCATTTTTGAGAGGTTTATGTCTGTGGTTACTCATTAAAACTCACATCTGGAGAGTGGCCTTGGATACTCTCAGAGTGGTGGGAATGTACAGACTTATACTGAGGTGCCATATGTGTATTTAAATATACAGTTCTATATCTGTACATTAAAAATATATCAGTATTCTATGCATACTATGAGAAACTGGCACAGAGAATGCACACTCAACAAAACAAATACCAAGCAAAGTCTTGCAAGGCAGAATACTGTAAATCTGACTTTCAGTCCCCTTGTGTGTAAAAAAGAAAATACTGATGTTAGGAATATCTCAGGCTCTTGAAAACTTGGTATGAAGTTCTACCTTCACACATACATATGCACACACAGGTAGAACTATAAAGAAATGTGTCAATATAAATAATTTTAAAATGTTAGCATTGACCAAAGTATACTACTTTGGTAGTATACTTTGTATAGTATACTCAAATATATTTGAGGTGTACTACAAGTTCTACTTATGATAAATAATATTTTTCAATTAGCAAAAATGATGCATTTTCAGTCATAAATGTGAAAAAGTATATTGAGGAATAAATGTTGATAACCCAATGACCCAACATCAAGCAATGACTTCCGTTACCATTTTGGCAATTTATTTTCATCTCTTTTTTATATATTGATAAAAAGAAAGAAAAAATGGAAAAAATTAATTTTACAATACAAAGGATTTGAGAATCTGATTTTTTTTGCATAGCATCATAGCATGAATATTTTTATAATATTGTATATTAAGACATTTTAATTATCTTAGAGTTTTGAATTTTTACAGATGCTATGGCTGTGTATAGTTCTTTGATTTCCAAGATAAGTTCTTAGAATCTGTATCATTTTGTTCAAAGTGTAAATAAATTTGAGGTTGATGGGATGATTGGCATAGTGCTTCTCAGAGAGTTATTCCTAAAATAAGCTTCTACATAAAGGATTTTCCCAATCTAAAAACCTACTCCCTCTAACAGATGAACTTAGTTTTTTAGTACTGTATTTGGGAAGTTCCTAGCACCTGCTTTCAAGTTCTGACATCACCTGAGTATATTTTTTGATAGAGTTTTCTGTGTAATTTTTCACTTCCTTTTTCACTTCCATTTTATCGTGAAGGGATGTTCAATTTTATAAATATTTTTTTATCTATGAAATTGATATAATTTGTTCATTTATTCTATGGATGTGGTGCAGAAGATAAGCATTATCAGTTACCATCATAATTTTAACAAAGTATAACATTAATTAATACAGTAACTTTATCACTAACTACTAAAAAATAAAACCAGGAATGTTTTAACACTCATCAGCATTCTCCTCCTTATCACTTCATATGTTCTTGTCAAATATTTTAGATTTCCATGTCTTTGACCGCTATGTTATATTTTGTGAATGTGTTTTATTCAGGTGATGTTGTTTGAAATTACTCAAATGTAAAATAAATTACTTGCTCAAAGCTCCTTTTAGTACTTTTTCCTTTTTAAAAAAATCTTTCTTCTATGTCAAACATATTTTAATAAATCATTTTCATTATTTAAAAGCTTTAGCAAATTAAGGTTTACTTGGAATAGGTATCTTCATTGACTTTTCTGAGTATATCTTTTCCTATTCTTTAATGACAGCTCAGCTGGCTGTACAGTTTTAAGATAATAGTTAATGTCTCCTAAAACTTCAGAGTTATTATTTTAACTATATTTCAGTAACTAGTACTGTTCATAATACTATCTACAGAATAATGGAAGTTTATTTTGTTTATCAATTATATAACATATTTGATACATCTATTACATATTTTTGAGCTCATGTTAAATTTGAGTTTAGATGGCTACTACTGTAATTCTGTGAATCTCAAAATAACTCTAAAACTACCCTTGCTATTGAGTTATGTCTATAATAAAGTCTATTAGTGGAGAAAATGCATAAACAAATAAAATCTTTACAAATAAGAAGTACTATGGCTGAGATCTATGCATTATATTCAGGTAGTTTTAGAAGGGATGGAAAAAGTTAAATAGCATTAGCTGGGGTACAGGAGTTGGGTATATAATCAAACCATGGATATCTACAAAATCATGTTTACTGATCCACAGGAGTTGGATATATAATCAAATCATAGATATCTACAAAATCATGTTTACTCATCCACAATATGGTCACAGTGGCTTTAACATAATACTTCAGGTAATAGGTATGCTTATAAAGTGTATGATATTTGCCTGGTAAAATTATGGAGAAATACTAACAACCTGAAAAGAGAAGCTACATATTTGAGAAATACACAGCTCACAAAACTGTCAGACTTTCTGATTAATTGGAGATAGCAAGTGAAGGAGACAGAGGAATCTGAAATGAGTTCTAGGCTTCAGCTTTAACAGCTGTCTGAGCATTAGAGATGAAATTTGGTGGACTGTTGGGGGCTGTACTTTGGTTCCACTTCAGTGACACAAGATCTAGTTCTGAGAATATTCTTCAGGAAAACAGCATTTAAAAGATAATAAATGTTTAAAAACAATCTTTGAGTACATACGCCATGAAAGAAGTTTAAAAACAGCTGTCTCAGAGAGGATGGGTGCTGTTTATTAGACAGTTGCATATCAGTCTATAAATTAAAATTAGGGGACTAACAGTGATGAAATTGTTTACTCAGTGTATCTGGTGGGAATGAGAAATGGCATAACTCAAAATCCTCATTCAATACAATATTAAGGGATTAACTAAGTATAACAATTAATTTATGACCATGAAACTAGGAGGTCATTACCAACATCCTGATTACAGAGAGTCTTGTTCCCACAAACCTTGTCACTTAACATTTGAGAAGTTCCATAATAAAATACTTTTGATTTGGGGAACATGTTTAAATATTGTTTAGCCAGAAACAAAAATATGATAGCAACATGCAAATAAGTTGCAATCATCTCCTAAATTTAAAGACTATCACATATATTATCTCTATTTGACTATCATAACAGCAGATGTAAATAACCCCTCAATTGTCACTTTGTGGACGTAATCACAAATGATTTAATTTAAATTACGTAGAAGGGCTGTAGTCTCCTAAGTCACTGTTAAGGTAGGAAAGAGGTCCTTCATATGAGAACTAAAGAATTGCAAGTATTTTGTGAGAAATCTCTTTGATGGCTTCAATTGCTCGAAAACGAAGCTTATCCCAAGTCTGTGAGAGGGGTCAGGAGTCATTGTTGGGCAAAGGTTTGACCTGAGGAGTAATGTAATGGTATCCATGCTCTGGCTAATATTTCAGCACTGTATTATGTAAGAATGGTAACCGAGGACATCCTTGTCTTATTCCAGGTCTTAAAGTTAATGCTTTAGGTTCTCCTCCATTTGGTAGGACTAGGCCTTGTCATATTACAGACTTTATTATGTTGTGGCACAGTCCTTGTATGCCTAGTTTGTTCAGGAATTTTATCATGAAGGGATGTTCAGTTTTATAAATATTTTTTTATCTATGAAATTGATATCATTTGTTCATTTATTCTATGGATGTGATGCATTACAAGTATTGATTTGCATATGTTCAACCACTCTTGTATGCTGGGGTAAATCTCACTTGGTCATGCTGAATAATATCTTTCATACGTAGTTGGATATATCTTGCTAGTTTTTTTTTTGAGGATTTCTACAGCCATGATCATCAAGAACATTGATCTATAGTTTTCGTTTTTGGTTGTATCTTTCTCTCATTTTGGCTATAAGATAATGAGTTTGGAAGGATTCCTTTCATTTAAAATGTCTTAAACAATTTGAGAAAAATAAACATTAGTTCTTTTCAAAAGCTAGTAAAATTCAGCGGTGAAAGCCTCTAGTGTGGTGTTTGTTGTTATTGTTGGGAGATTTTTTAGTACTGATTAAATCCTGTTAATTGCTATTCATATATTCATGTTTTTATGTCCTTGCTGTCTAATTTTGGAAGGAAAGTCTATTTTTTATTTGACTGAGTTTTTCGTTTTCAAGATTTCAACAATCCTTTTCTAAGCTATCTATCTCTTTGTCAAATTTCTCATTGTTCTCATGAACTGTTTTCCAATTTCACTGAGTTATATGTGTTCTGTTGAGTTTTACTCAATGTCCTTATAATTATTCTTTGAAATTCGTTATCAGGCATCTTGTGAATATTCCTTTCCTGGAAGTCTGCTCCTAAAGGGTTATTGTGTTTCTTTTTGGGGTGTTGTGAATTTTTCGTATTACTCATGACCTTACATTGAGATTTATGCATCTGGAAGCTCAATAGTCTTTACCGCTTTTATTAGATAGCTTCTCTAGTAAAGAGCTCCCTCCTAAAAATGTTTCAGAGTAAAAATTTAATAAGTCACATGGAATTGGCTTCCAGTTGGACACAATTTTATAGTTTCCCAGTATCTTCTTCATCTGTAACCAATGGGTTTGGGCCTAGGCTTTCCACCTATTGCCCCTGCAACCAAGGAAGGGGAAATAATATTCATCGATGCCTGATAGGAATTGAAGCACCAGCCTTTTGCTCAACTTTGGCACCTCTCCACTATGAAGGGTGGGGGACTTGGAAAACCCTAGCAAGTGTGGTGATCTAGAAGATCCATTTAGCCTTTGCTGGTGTGATAGAATCACAAGCACGGATATTTCTACGTCCTTTGTTCCTTGAAAGCTCACATGTTGGCAGGCTAGCCCTCCCTTTGCTGGTCCTTTGACCAAACTGAACCAATTTTTGCTGTTACTTACCTTGTGTGTCCAGGTTAGCAACTTCTTCATATCTAATATGAGCAAAGAGGAAATTCAGAGAATTCACCTCCAAATCGTTTTGCATCGATAAGCCCTCAAAGCCCTGCCTTTTTCTCTCCCCTTTTAGAGTTTTCTTATGTTTAATTATAATTCACAGAGGGGAAAAGTCATAAGTCATCTATCGCATCTTCCTGGTTAAATTGTTGTTAAGAGAAATTGGATATTTTATCTAAATTGCCTGATTTATTACTAGGTTATTATCTTTTACTGCTTTCTATTTGTAGTTGATGGTTGTTGGAAGGATTTGTTCACTTAACTTTTCAAAAGCTGATATGCTAAAATAAACTTATGATTTTATTAATTTTGTTCATTTTACCATGCTTTGGTTCATGTCAATCTTCTTTTTTAAATTTTAACTTTTACTTATTTTCCATTTCTATTTTTTAAAACCACTTTTAGTATTTATTGGTACATGTACTCAGTACAGAATGATTACATTCCTCATCTATTTTAATCTTCTCATATAGCATAAACATTTGGAAGTTATACACTTCTCAGAACTGTGCAACAAATTTTTTTCATTATTATTTATTTCAACATATTTTCTATTTCTTTTCCATTGACTCCTGAGATTTTGTGTACTAATTTACAAATATTTGACACTTCCTTATTTAAATAGAATTTTAATACATTTTTGTTTGAGCAATACATTTAGTTTGTTAGACCATATCAGCACACCTGGAGCTAACTTCTTAAAGTGGTGCAAAGATTTCACTCTACCATAGTTTATTTATCCAAAATTCCCAATTGGTGGATTCTATATGTTTTCCAGGGTTTTTGCTATTCAAATAAATGCTATATAAATATCCTGGTATGTATGTGATTTTGCATGTATGCGTTATATCTGTTAAATAATTGCCAAGGGGTAAACCTGCAGGTTAAATCTTGGTAGATGTTGCAAGTAGCTTTCCATTTGGACTTTATATTAATTTACTCTCCAGTGGGAGTTAGTTTTCTTTAAGGCATCTGTTATTGTTAGAAATTTCTGTCTTATTGTAATAATTGAAATATGCTTTTTTGGAGTGTTTACCCACTTTCCTAACACTCTCTGGAGTTCACATTGTGATTTCTGATGAGATCGGGCCTGTTCAGGGTGGTATGGCCGTCATATTGTGATTTCTTTCTCTCAACTCCAGTATGGGCTAAGAAGATGCATAAGAACTACATTCCATGCTTTAAGAGAATAGGGATGGTTTGTCTAGACTGTAGGTGCTTACAAAGCCATCAGATCTTTAAACATAAAGGAAGAGATTAAATGTATGCCATAAATCCCTTTTGAGCCTAATTCTTAAAAAAAAGAAAATTTTCACTAGCAGCATAATAATACA